ATTAGTCATCCAGGTATGCTTAACCAATAGCATTACCAGGTACAGCCAACCAATTGTATCAATTTCCACTCCGCACCCTATTATTTTAAGAATGCTTTTTAGGCTGGCGTAGTTGAATCCTCAACTTATTGGTAGGCTCAAATGCCATCGTACCATCTCATTCGCTCTCACCCAATTATTACTTCGCACATACGATTGCGCCAATCTTTTGGCCAATCGCTTCGCGGCTGCGTATTATGTGAATGCTTTCAAGCGCTGCGTCTCTGATACGTCTGCACTCCAGCTAGAGCCAATGGGTGCACCGCATGCGTTTTTGCCAATTACATTTCTCTGTATGGTCCACCAATTGTTTGGGGCTTCAGCTTGGACCATTAAAAATGGCCCTTGAAGCTGGGCAAGTTCATGCTTTGTCCTCCAACTCTCCAATATGCTCTAACTTGGCATTTTTCACCACATACTTGCACCAGCATAATTATTCAGCGTAGCCAGCCAAGTACATCGGAAACTTCACTTGTCATTTAAAGGCTATGTGAATTACACTCTGGCATTGGAAGATACCATCATTACCTATCAGCCAATCATATTTTTGTCTAAATCCCGATCCCAATTGAAGCATCTCGAAAGCAAGCCATGTACCTCGTTTACGCAAATAGTTTAACAAACTTTTTGAAAGAACTTAATAAATGCCTTAAAATGATGTATTGTTGTGCCACAATAAACGAATTTCACCCATAAAATGTAATTTACAAGTGAATTGTGCTTATTGAAGTCCACCGACATCATTTCACAGTTGATCCTAAGGGTTGTCGACAATGAAATGCTATTTGTTTTAATCACGAATCTCTGACAAATTAGTCTTCAAATAAGTTGCATTATGACCCTTCTATGTGCAAACAATGGTGCTGCATTTGTATGTCTCCTAACTTCTTTGAAGTTAGTTTTGGAGCTAAAATTGTAAGTTCCTTTATGTGATCGCCGATGGACTATTGGGTTCATTTTAGCCGAACTAGAACGGCTTGGTAGTGCAGACAACGGTCGTGTGTTTGCTCTTTTCCCTCGGGGTCTGGAAGCCGCAGGTCCAGGCTCTCCTGATGCCAATATCGAACCCGACGAGTTGCCCATCTGGCCAAATGAGGAGTTACGCATTATCAACCGGTCTCCTAC